GAGAGGTGGATTTAAACAGGATCCTCCTAATTGGACCAACAGAGAGGTGGATTTAAACGGTATCCTCCTAGTTTGGACCAACAGAGAGGTGGATTTTAACGGTATTACCCTAGTTTGGACCAACAGAGAGGTAGATTTAAACAGGATCCTCCTAGTTCGAACCAACAGAGAGGTAGATTAAAACAGGATCCTCCTAATTTGGACCAACAGAGAGGGAGATTTAAACAGGATCTTCCTAGTTTGGACCAACAGAGAGGTAGATTTAAACAGGATCCTCCTAATTTAGACCAACAGAGAGGGAGATTTAAACAGGATCTTCCTAGTTTGGACCAACAGGCGTATACATATGTATGGAAGGTACAGTAATTTACCTTCTGTAAAATTACTTCATTTACCTGTGTTGGGTCATTAACTCACTCAACCCGTCCTCCTAAGGCTTCCCCAACGTCCAGAAACAGTCGTACTAAATTGCCGCCCCTCATCTGAACCTACCAGAGGACCTAAAACAGAAAACGGGTCAATTATGTCCATTTCGCGAGCCGTTTTCATTTCCAATTACGACGATTTTTTACTTTATGAAGGAATATACGTCATAATACGGCGTTCTATTAGAGGCTATTGATAGGTGAGCTCTATATATAGTAGAGCAGAGCTCTGACTCTATGTAAAACAGAAAAAAAGTATATATGTAGAAGAAATCATATATAGCCACAATTGTGATGAAAAACAATTGTAACAATTTGTGTTTAGATATTTGGTCTTAAGAAATCGAAGGAGAAACTTGGTCAGAATTGTCTTTGAGAGACAACTATGGTGCCCAAAAGGTTCTTGTGGGTGTATCGAGGAGCTGTGATAAAGATAGCGCATTTTACGTACATATGAATGGATATGAGTATATCTTGAGGTTATCTTGAGGTGATTTTGGGGCTTTAGTGTCCCCGCGGCCCGGTCCTCGACCAGGCCTCCACCCCCAGGAAGCAGCCCGTAGCAGCTGTCTAACTCCCAGGTACCTATTTACTGCTAGGTGAACAGGCGCACCATGGTGAAAGAAACGCTGCCCATTTGTGTCCGCCTCCACCGGGGATTGAACCCGGAACCTCAGGACTACGAATCCCGAACGCTGTCCACTCAGCTGTCAGGCCCCTTCATGTATTTGGTTAGTGTTTTCTTTAACTCGTTGATTCTGATGTTGCTACATGAATCTTAGTGTTCTTGTTAATGTTGTATGTGATCTATGCATTTAGGAATCATGTTGACCAAACCACACACTAGAAGGTGAAGGGACGACGACGTTTCGGTCCGTCCTGGACCATTCTCAAGTCGATTTTTCAGTCAAAAAATCAAGTCAAGCAAAAAAATCGACCTGAGAATGGTCCAGGACGGACCGAAACGTCGTCGTCGTCCCTTCACCTTCTAGTGTGTGGTCTGGTCAACATACGTCAGCCACGTTATTGTGACTCCTCGCCTGCATTTGGAATCATTTTGTCATTTGTAAATATTGGTAAAACATATCTCAGATCGAAGTTTGTAGTCTCCGTGGTGTAGTGGTAAGACACTCGCCTGGCGTTCCGCGAGCGCTATGTCATGGGTTCGTATCCTGGCCGGGGAGGATTTACTGGGAGCAAATCCTTAACTGTAGCCTCTGTTTAACGCAACAGTAAAATGTGTACTTGGTTGTAACAACGATTCTTCGCGGCGGGGATCGTATTCCAGGGACCATAGGATTAAGGACTTGCCCGAAACGCTACGCGTACTAGTGGCTCTACAAGAATGTAACAACTCTTCTATATATCTCAAAAATACATCAAGAGGCCAATCAAAGGAGCATTTTAGAGCATTTAAATCATGAAATAAACCTTATAAATAAATCCTCTTGTGTTTTTGCAGTTGCTTTGTCAGCGACGGAAAACATAAGTTATTAAGATTATTTTAGTTATCCCTCCGTCAGTTGAGTTTTCTGTGTTGTGTTTTCTATTTTCCCGGATCGTAATTTAATAATTTATTTTATATATAAACAAGAAGATACATTAGGGGCTAAAGGAGAACATAGAAATTAAGTCGAATTTACATTCTTGTAAAGCCACTAGCACGCATAGCGTTTCGGGCAAGTAGTTTGTCTCCAAACCACTAATTTAAGTGGTTTGTCTTGAGCTGAGATAGTTATAAGGGTCATTCCAGTCTTGGCTTTCCTAAGGTGAGGTCCTCCGGCCTTCAGCTGTCTCATACGGTATGTTATTTGCTAGATTATTGATTTTCCTTCGTAATTTTGTTATAGATTAGTCTTTTTTTTAATTCTTAAGGGTCCAGATAGCCATTTAAGGCGCAAGATAATTTTATTTTAAAGCAGTTTTTTGACTTTATAGAGTAATTATCTCTTCTCGCATATTTGTTATTCCCTCTATCTCCTTTTGAAAGCATTCGTGAATGACGCTTAATTAGGGAAATTTGTTAAGAACGATGTAGTTGACGATTTGGTTACAATTGACGATTAGTTTCGCTTTATATATACATATATTACATTAACGCAAAGTCTTAAGCTAAATGGTTTTATCTGAGTTAATTATGGAAATATTTGCTACTTAATGGATCATAAGTTCAATGTGTTTGATATAAATTATTATGCTGAATAGCTTCGGAAAATAGCAGAGTATAGCTAGCCGTAATTACCGTATGGAGGTAGTTAACAGGTTTAATGAGTTACTGCGGAGTAAGAGGTATACCTACTTTCAGTTGACATGGGTTTTACGTAAGAGTATAAATTAGGTATACTTTTATATACACACACACACACCTAAGGTGCTGGGTAAACTTTTCAATGTGTCTGTATACTCCCTGGGGCACCCTGGTTCATCACTACCCATAACAAGGGCGCCGGCTGCCCATTAGTTATGGGCGCGGTGGAATCCCCTTCACAGAGCCCTTCAAGATCGCAAGGAACTATCGCAAGACTTTCACAACTTGAGTATTTGGCTAAGGAGTCGTAGACCCGCCAGCCATTTCCTCAGACTCGTCAACGCTTCGTCCTCAGTAACAACGGTCTTAATCCCACTTTAAGATCTATGGGCTCGCCATAGCCCGTGCTATTTGGAACTTGTTCCAAGTAACGAATCTTAAACAACAACCCCCCTCCCCCCTTTAAGTCGTTAGAACCAGCGTCGTTATAAGTAATTGATAATGCTGTTTTCTCTTTATTCTGACTTCTTCCAAGTATTATATAGTCGTAATGGCTTGGCGCTTTCACTCCCCTGATAAGATTGGTAAAGATTAAGCCACCCAAGAGGCGGCACGGGCATGAATAGCCCGTTAACCCGCTTTAAATGTTGTTAAAGATTCGCTAGTTCCAAGTAGCACGGGCTATGGTGAGCCCGTAGGTGCTTTAAACTCCCTTCTATGCTCTTATAATAACTCTGACGACCGTGTTGGTTGTAAAGAGAGAATGTATATTATTATTTATATAAGTTTGTAATCTCCCTGATTTTGTTTCGGAAAATTAGTTTTATTTTTATTTTATTATTTTTAGTTAATAAAGGCTGAATAAATAATGTAATGAATAAATTTGCAAAGCTATTTTGAAATAATTAATTTTTATTTTCGGAATGCATTTGAGGCTAACGGATTTTCTCAAGCTAAATTTGTTAATAAATTCAACAAATTATATAAACACACATTGCCTTGACTGAATGCATAATAAAGTAGAAGATCCTTGATAAATAAAACCATAAATATATTTTGATTTATACACAAATATACATTAAAGGAGGCCTGATAGAGGACCGGGCCGCGGGGACGCTAAAGCCCCGAAATCACCGCAAAGGCAGAGGTCAATATAGATTCTCCAGCGCTTCTGTGGATATAATGTTTGTACTGACCATTATCACGAAAGGAAGAGAGAGAGACTCCAGGAGATATATATGCAGTTTAAGATATCTTTTTCTATATATTTTTGTCTTGAACACGATTGAGAGAGATTTTATTCCATAGGTCCGTTCACGTGTTTAATATTTCAGGTTTTTAGCTGTGGGGAATGTGTGTGTCGGTTCGAATCCCTCCCTCTTTCTCACCCCCTTAATCCATTCTATAAGCAACCCCCCAAATCCACCCCCCGTGTAGAGGGGGGCAGCAGGAACCGTGTTGACTTGGAGGCTGTTGAAGCTGTCTTACGATGCCTAATGCACATTCATTACTAGAGAAGGTGTTCTGCTTTTAATACGTGTTTATACTTTTAATACTGTGGGAGGGAACTTGTATGGTGCAGGGAGGTACCTCCCGATAACAAGCAAGATGGGTAATAGGTGATAAAGGAAATAGAGGGCTTGTTATGGAGGCTTTTGCGGGACAACTTTGTAAGATGACACATGCGGGGTATGGTGATATCATAGGGCAGTCGGAGATGAGTTCCACCTTCCCAAGGGCCACTTTGAGACCTTTCGGCTATAAAAGTGAGGATGACAATTTATATTGACGTGGATGTGGGTCAGTAATTCCTCTGAACTTCATTAGTAGTCAAGGGATAAAGTCGAAAATGCCAGTTTGGCAGCAAACTGCTACTGGAAACTTTTTTTTCTTAAGGTCACTCAATAGCTCAGTCGATAGAGCTGCGGCTTCCCACGCATTGGGGGGTCCATGATTCGAGCCTCCCAGAGCCCAGATGAATGCAATGGTAAATCGACTGCAATAGCGACCCCCTTCCATAGTCTGAAACAGGGGAATTTGTTTCCATAGACTGTACACAAGATTTTCACATCGTAATATTCCATTTTCTGTGACAGAGAATGGGAAGGGGGGAATGGGGGGGGAGAGAGAGAGGGGGGAGAGTCTAGCACATTTGGAAACCCCCATACGAAGTTATTTTAATTTGTTTACGAATTCACAGCTAAAAAAATAGGTCGAGGGAGAGATAGGGAGAGTGAGGGAGGGAGAGAGAGAGATAGGGAGATAGGGCAGCAAGGGAGACCCACACTATCTCCTAATATATAAACTTACTAAATGAAATTTCATATAAATATACACATTTCTTTCCAACGATTTAAAATTCGCGATGGCCATCTTTAAAGGCGCGCGAGGCCCTCTAGGGGCGGGAGGGGAAAGTATTCCTAATTTAACCGCTCGCGTTCCCAATTGGCGATTTTTTTTGGCCGAATTGGCGAAGATGGCGACCGCGAAGAGCAGTTGGCTATCTGCGCCAACGATCGTTAGTGACGATAGACCCACACAACCAAATTGGCACTATATGGCAGCCTTAACAAGCGCGTAAGATCGTAGAGATTTGAGCAAGAGCGGACGATGCTTCGAGGGCCAGGTAAGTCCACTACGGGCTCGCCATAGCCTGTGCTACTTGCCCCGCTCCTGTGAAAAGCGAGTTCCGGGCTCACCATAGCCCGTGCTACTTGGAACTTGTTCCGAGTAGCTGAATCAATAATAACAGCTTCCTGCGACCACTGGCTGGGGCGGCCGCTGGTCTGATGACTCCCAAAACAAGTAAACGACTGTTTAATTGCCTCGTTTCGAGTGTAATCGCCTGGGATCACCTTGTGATCCAGCGGTGAGAAAGGTGAAGGGGGAGGAGGAAGAAGCCTGTGTGGGGGTGTAGCGCCCCCCTCTGGGGTTTCCGCCCCCCCAGAGAGGGGGAGGGAGATGATTAGGGGTGAGAGAGACCCGGGCACCGCCGGAGACCCCCCATACAAAATCAAATTGTGATTTAGGAACGTTCCAAGTCTTTAACTATGGTCTCTTGTTGGTCACTCGTTCGAGCGCCGATGTTTACGAACGGAGTTACATCTGATGGGTGATGTTGCTGGGATTGGGAGGGTTCGAATCCCGCCCCCCCCCCCCCACTCTCTCTCTCTCTCTCTCTCTCTCTCTCTCTCTCTCTCTCTCTCTCTCTCAGCTTCCCCCCCCACCCACACTTCCGGTGATGAAACACCTCCCCCCAAGCACTAACGAGGCGATTCATGTAGCTGTGGCAATTAGAGATCCACGGTAGTTACACGTCGCCCCGCCAGAGTGGTCAACAGTGCCAAATTACACCGAAGTGGCATCAAACCCCCCCCCCCCCCCCCCCCCCCAGGAAGCAGCCTGTGACAGCTGTCTAACTCCCAGGTACCTATTTACTGCTAGGTGAACAGGGGCATCAGGGTGAAAGAAACTGTGCCCAATTGGTTCCGGATCGAACCCAGAATCTCAGGACTACGAATCCCGAGCGTTGTCCACTCAGCCGTCAGGCTCCATTGAATGACCCTGTTAATGTTAATTCGCCGATTCTATCGTTAGGATGATTAATCTTGCACGGTGATTGGCAGCCAAAATTATATCACAAAATGATATGATATAAAACGATATATCACAAAATGATATCACAAAATGATATCACAAAATGATATCACAAAATTATATCACAAAATATGATATAAAACGATATATCACAAAATATGATATAAAACGATATATCACAAAATGATATCACAAAATGATATCACAAAATGATATCACAAAATGATATCACAAAATGATATCACAAAATGATATCACAAAATGATATCACAAAATGATATCACAAAATGATATCACAAAATGATATCACAAAATGATATCACAAAATGATATCACAAAATGATATCACAAAATGATATCACAAAATGATATGATATAAAACGATATATCACAAAATGATATCACAAAAATGTGATATCACAAAAATGTGATATCACAAAAATGCGATATCACAAAAATGCGATATCACAAAAATGCGATATCACAAAAATGCGATATCACAAAAATGCGATATCACAAAAATGCGATATCACAAAAATGCGATATCACAAAAATGCGATATCACAAAAATGTGATATCACAAAAATGTGATATCACAAAACTGACCATCATTCTCGTACCCCTCCCCCCCCCCCCCTTTTCAAAAAAGTCATATTACAGATATATTTGCAAACTGAAGTAAGGTGTTTATTAGCCATGAATTGGCTCAAAGCTTACCCACCATCCCATTTTATTTTTTTTAAGCCGAGGTGACACGAGCTGTAAAGGGTAATTACTGTGACCCTCCCCAATTGACCCCCCTAGTTGGGTAATTAACCGCCCTCTGCCCCCCCTTTTTCACATATTTACTTCGTGAAAAAGCGATTTTATTTTATTTTTTATAGTGTGCCTTATTGCATCCCGTTTTCTTTGATGTGTGTACTCACCTAGTTGTGCTTGCGGGGGTTGAGCTCTGGC